GAGCAGAGGAATGGAGGGGTACGTGGGTTTCCTCACCTGTGAAGCAGCTGGTGAAAGGGTCCGGCTGGCGAGGCGGGCTCTCTGAGGGAAGGTGCTTCCTGAGGACACCTGGGGTCGTGAGGAGGGATAACGCTCCTTGCGCGATGGCCGCGAAGTCACTCGGTTGGTCTTCCCTGTCAGTGCGCAGCCTGTGTGACGTTCAGCTGCGCGGCTACGTTAGAAGCGTTTGACAGGCGACTGTTACAAAGCCATTAATATTAGTGCCGCGCAAGCCGCTAGCGGTGGATGGGAGTATAGCTGTAACCTGTCGTCCTTCCTGGTCTGACCCAGGGCTGGACAGGCCTCGTCTTTTGCCTTTATTTGTCCCGGTGTGGCATCTTGCAGGGTTTTTTTCTTGCTAAGACCAAGACCTGCTATGCCACCCCAGCTGTTTTAAGTAGGTTTTGAGCGCCTGTTTTCTTATGTTTTGCAGAACCTGTTACCAAAAAGGATTTTAAGCAGCAGCTTTATAGCAAGTGAAGTTAGACAGACTTGAATTACAGGAAAAGAACAGAAACAATGTACATTTTCTTGTAACACCCTGGTCTTCCCATGTGTCTCAGGGACTCTTATTTCAGCTTCTCTCACCGTTGTAAAAAGGTAGGCTTTATCATCAATAAAAATAATGCTAGAGTTGAAAGATAGCATATACCCCTTAGGATGATCTTGCCTCAACTACTGTATCGATATAAGAAGCTTCTCTCTTTTTTGGGGGGGATTTCTGAGTAGCTATTTAAATTATTTTCTTCACCTTGAACAGAATACAAACATAATACGGTTTAGATGCAAAGGACATACTTGAATCCACAAAGTAAATTAATTTTGTTCTGTGTTCAAAGTAAGACACAAACTAAGACACAGCAGCTCAAAAGAGCTCTGGCTGAAAGAAAAATGCCCAAGTAATATCTAAACCATATAATTTTTATGGCATACCTCTTTCTGACTGGATGTGAAAAGTCAGGGTTTATAATATGGCAGTGCCAGTAAAGTGCTCCCGTGTAGAGACAGTCATACAAGAAATGTGTCCCTGCACTAGTAAGGTGCTGCTGATGTAAGACAGGACGTTGTAAGAAACAGGCAAAGGATGTGAACTCTTGAGCTTGTTTTCCGTTTCCAAGTACCTGCATCTATACCCGGAGCTCATTGCAAGTGAAACATGTCCTCATGCTGAGCAATTTTCTAGTGCCAGCAACAGCTTTGTATGGTGATACATAAAAATCAAGCATTTGGACGGTTCTGTTGTCAGTAAAAAAAAATAGGAAAAGACTCCATAGTCATATGAATTCATCATCTCTCAACCATGTTTAACAGTTGCTTTTGAATTTTTTCTGCTGGATTTATGCACCATTGAAACATAGATGGCTGCTCTTTGTCTGTTGGAGACTGTTTACAGAGAGAGGGTTTTGGAAGTGAGTGGTCTTTGCCTTTTTATATTCAATTTTTAACAGGCAGAGAAGAAAACAGTTTCAAGTATAAAGGTAGAGAGACATCCAGCTCATAGACAGGGGAAAGGTACTCTAGTAAGAGTCTTGAGCTGGATTTATATCACCTTCAAAATCATCAGAAACCCATCCTAAATGACCAAGATCACTGGGGTCTCTGACCCTGATCTTAAAGCACATCAAGCAGCAATGGCAACAGTACTAAATCCTGGACGTTTAACACTAATGCAATGTTAAAGCTAGAATCAGTAGAGAGCCAAGCTTTTAAAAGAGCTATTGAGGTCTGTTTAGGTTGTTGTAGCTGGCCGCCTCCTTGTTGACTCAGGTTAGGGATCATTTAGAGTTTGTTGTGGTATCACAGGAGGTTCCTGGTTTCTCCTAGATGTATATAAGAAGTGGTATAGCTACATTTAAGGGTATTGTGTAAATTTGAGCAGTGGCAGGTGTTGCTTCTGTGGTGCTGAACTGGGCTTTAGGTTTGGTTATGCCAGAGAGTGACAGGAAAACACAGACCGTGTGCTATTACCATCAGTGAACACATGCTGCACAATGCTGCACTGGGGTTAGGAGCAAATTTTTTTCAGGATTTTGAAGGAGACGGAGGTTAGAACTGATGCTGTCGCAGCCACCTTGTTACACATAGCTCTGTGTCTGGCAAAAACAGCCCCTCTAGTGTTAAGAATCATTTGGGGTTGGAGTTTGTTCCATTGCTGGGTGGAGAGCCTGGCTTTTTACTTGGTACATAACAAGCTGCTGCACTAAGTTTAGGGCTGCTGTGGTTAGCGGCTACCTTCTTACTAATAATTTTGGTCTGGCAGGATTGCTTCTCTAGAGCTGGGCTTCAGGACAGAGTTAGGATTAAGGGTTTTGTAAGCGTTAGTCTGTGCGATCAGGTTTGCGCTGGATGTAAAAGGAGTTGTCTGGCTAATTTAAAGGTTGTCATCCACTGCTGCCTCGTTCTGTGTCCAACAGAAGCTCCTTGGGTAGGGTTTGTTTTGATCTTAGGTCGTTGCAGGTTTTGAGGTGTCACTGGGTGGAGGCTGACCCGGAGCGTGCATTGTGTTTTATTACTTGTTTTGTGTCTGCTCTCTGTAATTTAGATGAGCAGACATATAGGGCTCTCCAGCTGCTGAGTTTTGTTTAGGGCTTTGGCTACCACTCAGTTTTTTTCTTCATTCTATGTGAAATAGAGATTTATTTTGTTTCTTTTTACTAGTGTGTATTTAGGGGCAGCCTTATGGTTAGGTTTCCTCCTGCAATGTCCCATTGACCCGCGTGTCGGTTGTTAATGTTGATCCAGGCGGAGGGTTGTGGAGAGACATTTCTTAGGTATTCAAAATTCGGTGTTGCTTGTGGGAGAGTTATCTGAGATGGCTTAATGTCAGTCAGACTTGCTGTTGAAGTTCAAGTCAGGGTGAAGGCTGTGGTTTCAGACAGCAGACCCAAAGGACCAAATCTGTTGTTAGGTCATGTTCAGAGCCAGCACTCACAGAAGCCTTCCAGACTTGTTTTAGAGCTGAGTATAGACTCGGAGTTGCCTGCACATTATATTGTTTTTCTTACCCTCTTATCATTTCTGGCTGTTCTGACCTTTTCCAGCATTTCCAGGGAGCAGTGAGATGATAACAAATCATGCAGAAAACACCCTCATGCATGATCCTGGGGTTGTAATATTTTTTTTAGCTTAGTTTCTTGAAAAAATGAGATTTGTGTGCTTAGTATTCTGTCCTTCAAATAGGACTTGGACCTATCACCAATTTTGACTAAATGTGGTAGAAACTCTGTGTTTTCTGGCTTTGTATAAATAGGCAGCTGCACAGAGAAGAGAGACTTTTAGTTAAAGGCACACTGAGGACAGAGCTCAGTCCTTCTGGGATGTTTGTCAGTGGCACAATGTTTCAAAGTTTTGTTTTACTCAGGCAGAGACAACGAACCGCTATCAACACGACATTTTTTTTATAGTCACTGTTGTACAAGGTGCTTGTGATTCTGAGCAGATCACGTCACCTCTCTGTCTCTCGATTTTTCTTCCCCAACTATTTCTAGTCCGGTGCAGTTAGATGATAAACTTTTTTACCAGCTGTTTGTGCAGCATCTTGTCAAACGGAGTCCTAACATTGAGTGGACCTTGCTAGTTCTACTGCAATATGAACAACACGAA